TTCATGGTGTTTATTACAGCAACAGAAAAGCAAAGTAGGACACAGGATTTGCAGAAGCCGACGATGCAACCCAACACTCATTTGAAATCCCAAAACCCAATCCCCAGACAAAGGACAGGGGTGAGATACAGAATAAAGATGGAGCCTTCACATTTCCCGATTTTAAAACCTCAATGATGAAGACATCAAATCCTGGCAACAAAGATGGTTTTAGAGACCAGTGGTTCAGAAGAGTGAATCCAGGAATAAACCCTTGCACACATGGACCAAAGATTGCTAATAAAGACAGCAAGACTACTCAGTAGACAAATGACAGTCTCTTTATGAATGCTAGGAAAATGGAAATAGCCATGGGAGGAGAATGGGGGTGGGCCTTTGCCTTATATGATGTCTAAAAATTAACACAGATGTGACTAATGACCTACAATTAATACCAAAATACATAGGAGAAGCCTTAGAATGTGGGATTCAGCAATGATTTCTTGAACAGACACCAAGAGCAAATATAATCTACCCATTGAATCACAATCTTCATATCCTTAAATCCTCTTGATGGCAAAGCAAACGACCAACAGAATGGGAGAGTGACCTGGGGAATTGGCAGAACGCATCTGCAAGTCACACACCTAAAGAGTGGTGAATATTCAGTATATAAGAAAGTTCGACAGTTCCATGCAAACAGCAACATAATCCAATTAAAATACAGGTAGGTGGGTGTGGTGTCACACACCTGTAAACCCAACACTATGGGACCCGAAGCAGGAGAATCACAACAGGACAGTCTGGGCTTTATAGCAAGATATTATCTCAAGAAGCACAAATATGAAAAACATAAGTACATATGTAAAGATGTTGGAGAGATCTCTTTGAAGAAGATGTATAAATGGTCTACAATCATATGAAAAATTATCTACATCACTAATCATAAGATACAAGGGCCAACAAGATGGCTCAGTGGGTAGAGGTTCTGTCTCCAAACCTGATGGCTGGAGTCCCATCCTAGGGGCCCACATGGTGGAAGGGAGAAGCGATTCCTCAAGTTTTCTTCTGACCTACACTAACAGGCCATGACATGACACACACACACTCGGGCACACTCACACAAATAATCAAAATGTAATAAAAAAAATTGTAAGGACAACTGTAGTTACCTACATCTTTAATCCCAACACTAACAAGGTAGAAGCAGGAGAATCTCAGTGAGTTTGAGGCCAGCCTGGTCTACATAGTGAGCTCCAGGCCAGCCAGGGCTGCACAGATGGGGGGTGGGTAGAAACACAAATCAAAACTACGTTGAGAGATGGCCCAACACCCATTAAGATGACAGCATCCAAAAGAAAAGAAGGCCAGGCTTAGTGGCTCGTGCCTATAATCTCATCTAGGAGGCCAGGGCAGGAGGGCCATGAGTTCAGGGCTAGCCTTGGCTACAAATGGAGATACTTTCCCAACAAAACCAAACAAACAAGCAAAAAGAAGAGAAAATAACAAAAGCTGAGAGCTGGAAAAATTCAACCCCTTGTGCACCACTGGCAGGACTGTAAAATGATGCAGTTCTCATGAAAAGATGCGTGAAGAGTTCTCAAAAGTTTAAAAACAGAATTCCTGCATGATCCGTCCATCCCACTGTGGATATGCTTCCCATAGGACTGAGTGCCGGGCCGCGGAGATGATAGCCGTGCCCAGCAGTGTTGCCACGGAGATAGCCGTGCCCAGCTGTGTTGACTGCAGCCGGGTTAAAACACGGAAGCACTTCCCGTCCCTCACTGGATAACAAGTGAACCCTACACATATTTGGGGGAATATCGCTCAGCCTTGGAAATGAAATTTGTGATACACTACAGCAGGCAGGACCCCTGAGGACGCTATACTTAGCAGAAGGAACTAGTCACAAAAAGGCAAATATGTAGCTCCAGTCACCTAAGTGTGGAAAGTAGCCCAAACTGGGCCAGCAAGACGGCTCTGTGGGTAAAGGCACTTACCACCAAGCTGACGGCCTGAGTGCTAGCCCAGGGCCCACATGGTGGAAGGTGAGAACTGAGTCCTGCAAGTTGTCCTCTGACCTCCATATGGACACTGCTGCATGTGTATGGTGGTACACACACACACACACACACACACACACACACACTTATTATTATTATTATTATTATTATTATTATTATTATTATTATCATCATCATTAAAGTAGTTAAAACCACAGGATCAGAGGGAAGAGGGGCAGTACCAGGGGCTGCGGGGACGGAGAGCAGAGGTATTGTTTAAGGGGTGGAGAGGTTCCATGTGAGTTGAAAGGCTCTGGTCATCTCCTGGACAACAATATACAAATATTCCTACCCTGATGAACTACTCACACAAATAGGGAAGAGGCCAAATGTAATGTTAGGGGCTCTTTGATTAAACACACACACACACACACACACACACACACACACACACACACACACAGCCCTGAAACTCACAGAAAAAGTCAGTTTTGTTGGTGTTACATCTAGAGACTGAGTACTTCCTGCCATTGAATCCAAAAGTCATTTTGTGTTGGTTCTAAAAAAAAAAAAGGATGATCCAAGCGGGGGTTAAAATATGGCCAAGTATAAGCACTTCAGAGTTTTAAAAAGCACCGTAAAGCCGATTTTCTTGAAAATTATGAAAAAATAAATAAATAAACGCACAGAACTCTACGGGAAGAAATGTAAAGAGCATCTGCTTGGTGAAGGGTGGAAGATTCTGATCAGTTCTGAGTGTATTCCAAAGACGTCCTAACCTGAACACAGCCGCAGAGGTGCGTCCCTTCTAGACCGGACAGGATGGACGGGAAATCAGCTGTACCCCACCCCCTCTGACCTACTCACAGCTTCTCCTCCCGCCTGAACTCTGACCCCCTTATTCCTCATCTCACCGGCACGAACTTCAGCACACTCCCAGCTGCCACCCAAGAAACAACCTAACGGTCAGCACCAGAGACATTAGGAAGCTGTGCGCTTGCTTTCTACTTTCTCTGAAGTCACTGACTATCAATACTCTCCGGACAGCCAGACGACGACATCAGCCCTAATAAAAGCAGAACACTCCCCATCCCCACCCCCACCCCCACCCTACCCCACCCCCACCCCCTCCAAGAGGTTGAACACTCTCCATGGGCCCCACAGGCACCCTCTTCTCCCATGGATCTCTCAGTGACCGTGAGGGTCAGTTTTAATTGACAACTTGACAGAATCAAAATCAAAATAAAGAAGAGAGTCTGGATGGGGGTGGGGGGAATGCCTGGGCTGTGTCGGCCTGCAGGAATGCCTGTGGGGGATTTTCTGCATTGGGTTTATTGAGGTTAGAAGACCCTCTTTAAATGTGAGCAGCACCATATCATGGGCTGGGTCCTGGCAGGCAGGTATGCACTCATTCTCTTTCTGCTCTTGACTGTGGGTGTGACTAGCTGATTTACATCCTGCCTTGACTTTCTCAAAATGATGGGCTGTAACCTGGAGCCATGAGCTAAAATTTCTTCCTCGGCTGCTTTTTTTAGTTTGTTTTGTTTTGTTTTGTGTTTTTCTGAGACAGGGTTTCTCTGTGTAGCTTTGGATCCTGTCCTAGATCTCGCTCTGTAGACCAGGCTGGCCTTGAACTCACAGAGATCCACCTGGCTCTGCCTCCTGAGTGCTGGGATTAAAGGCGTGCGCCACCACCGCCCAGCTTCTCAGTTGCTCTTACTGGGGGTGTTTTATCACAGCAACAGGAAACCAAGTGCTGGGATGGCCCTAAAATGCTCCATGTGTCTTGTTGAGTCACCTCTGTGTCTCACCTGATGGGTGGAGGGACAGTCAGCAATGTCCCAGAGAGCAGTTACCTTGGTCAGAGTAAAATTGACACAGGTCCACAGGGGTACCCACCGTATAATAGCAAGCTTCTCGGGTGGGGTAAGTGGGACACGGGCACCCAGCCTCCCCTGAGATGAAGCATCATCTCAGGAAGGCATGCCTTGAACCCAGACGACATGGCTGGGGTTCATGGCCATCCTCTTGGGAGGGACCTCAAGAGGAAATGACACGTGAGGGTGATGGCTAGATTCCCGTCCTAAGTCACAGAATCAGCAGATGCAGCCCACAGGTGTCGTCCAAGAACTTCAGTATCCATACCCAAATCCTCAGTGTTCCTAAGGCCACTAGCATTTCAGTGACCTCCACAGGTTCCGCTGTGTTCTGTGTGTACGTGTGCACGCATGTATTTCTATGTGTGTACACATTCGTGTGGAGCCGTGAGGTTAAGGTCAGGAGTCCTCCTTGATGGTTCTCCACCTTATTCATTGAAGCAGGTCTCTCAGTTGAATCCAGAGCTCACTGATGGGTTCTGGGGATCTGAACTCTAGTCCTCAGGCTTGCTGTTTGTGTGGAAAATACTTTAGCCTCCGCACCATCTCCCCAGCCCTCTGCTACATTCTTACGACATGCCTGTGAGGTAGAGTTTCGGAGGAATGTCTTCCAAGCCAGCTATACTGCAAAATGAGTGAGCATTTAACTTTCTACAGTCTAAGAGTTAACACTAATGATACAATACAGCACTGAAATTCAACAGTCAGCAAGTCATCAGAAAGTTGAAAGTGAACTGCGATCTATCTGAAGTTAACACAGGCTTCCAGAATCTCAAGCATAATTTAAAAGTATGAGTTTGCCCAAATCTTACCAATAAAACTTAAGGTTGCTATGGAAATCTGAATTTTTGCTATGTTGCATATAGGGATGCAGGTCGCAGTCCCAGTTGCTTTTTATAAAGAACCATAAGTAAAAAGACGAGTGTCTTCCTGATGTTTGGGCTGAGACTTCACAGGCAACACCTTAAATCTAAAGCGGAGGAATGCTGAGTTACCATCCCGTGGATGGCAACACGTCACAGCCTGGACTTCTAAAAGCCTCAGCTCAGAAGAGACCACAAGCATCTTATGAGAAAGAGGCGCTCCTTCTAGACCCCCAAGAGGCTGCTTTGAGGAGTCGGGGGTCCCTCACATAGCTTACCTTTTGGTTACTGGCACAACCATTTCTTTCCTGGACCCCGAGGGGGATGGGAGGGAAGCACTGGGTTTCTTTGGTAACACGGTGCCATTATTGACGGTGGTTCTCAACGGCAGGGTCTGCCCCAGTGGTCTCGCTGCAAGAGAAGCATAGGATGAAGTCAGAGTTTCCCCATAGCAGCAGTAACACTCCACAAAATCCAAGCTGAACAGAACCAGAGCTGCACAGAACCCGAGCTGCACAGAACCAGAGCTCCACAGAATCAGAGCTGCACAGAACCTGAGCTCCACAGAACCAGAGCTGCACAGAACCCGAGCTGCACAGAACCAGAGCTGAACAGAACCTGAGCTGCACAGAACCTGAGCTGCACAGAACCTGAGCTGCACAGAACCCGAGCTCCACAGAACCAGAGCTGCACAGAACCAGAGGTGCATAGAATCTGAGCTCCACAGAACCAGAGCTTCACAGAACCAAAGCTGCACAGAACCAGAGCTGCACAGAACCAGAGCTGCACAGAACCAGAGCTGCACAGAACCAAACCTGCACAGAACCAGAGCTGCACAGAATCTGAGCTGCACAGAACCAAAGCTGCACAGAACCAGAGCTGCACAGAACCAAACCTGCACAGAACCAGAGCTGCACAGAACCAGAGCTCCACTGAAGATGATTTCAATTCTAAAAGCTAGCAGTAGTGGCAGAGGTACAAAGGCAAGTTAGTGGGGGACTTTTTTAGCAATGGTGATCTAACAGTGATCCCAAACAGCATCCTCTCACCCTATACAACTAAGTCACAAGCAATGAGAAGCACAAAACTGAACATCTCTAGGAGCAAGTTTTGAAGGGCTAAGTGATCTCCTCCTGCTTCTCCTCCTGCTCTCCTGATCTTCCTCCTCCTCCTCCTGCTCCCCCTCCCCATCTTCCTCCTACTCTTCCTCCTCCTGCTGCTTCTCTTCCTCCTCTTCTCTTCTCCTTGTCCTGCTCCCCTCCACTTCCTACTCTCCCTGCTTGCCAAGGACTTAGATTATAGATGTGCACTATCAAAGTGCCCAGCTTACACAGTGATGGGGATCAAAGCCAGGGCTTCACGTACCAACCAGGCTACATCCCTAACCCAGTGATGTTACTGTTGTTGTTGAAGATACAATGCTGGTCCAGTTTCACTTCTGGTGCTGTGATAAAATACTCTGACCAAAGGCAGCACAGAAGAAAAAGGGAGTTATTTGGTCACAGTTCCAGGTTACAGTCCATCACTCAGGGGAAGTCAAAGCAGGACTCAAGGAGCCAGTCACGGCACATCCACAGTAAAGGCTGGAGAGAAAGGAACACATGCACGATGGCTTCTGAGCTTTCTCTCAGCTTTACTTCATAGTGTTCAGGATGCCCTGCCCAGGAGATGGGGATGCCCACATGGACTAGGTCTTCCTCCTCCACCAATTAAAAATCAAGACAATCTCTCACAGACATAGCCACAGGCCAAACTGATCTAGACAATGCCTGGAGACCGAGGCATTTTTCTCAGGTGATTCTAAGCCACGGCAAGCTGAGAGTTAAAATTAAGCATTACAGGGGCCAGAGAGATGGCTCAGAAGTTAAGAGCACTTGTTGCTCTTGCAGAGGACCTGGGTTCCATTTCCCACATCTACACAGTGGCTCACAAACATCCATAACTCCAGTTCCAGGGGATCCAGTGCCTTCTTCTGATGCTTGGACACCAGGCTCACGTGTGGTACTTACATACACACAAAGACAAAACACTCTTACACACAAACTTTTAAAAAATAATTAAACTAACCATTACAAACATCAAAAGCTTGACCCATGGGAGAAAAATGACAAAGTGGACCTCATTAAGAACTTTACAAGTCTGCCAAAGAAACTGAAAGAGGATGGAAACACAGATTACATGTTGGAAGAAAATATTTTCCAATTGTGTGTCTGATGAAGGACTTACACAAAGAATAATAAGAACTCTGAAAATTCAACTTAAAGAAAACAAATGGCCCAATTAAAAAAAATGAACAAAAGATCAGAAAAGACTCCTCACTAACAATCTTCAGGTGCCAAATAAACATATGTAAAGTTAGTTAATCACTGTCATTAGGGAATGCAAATTAAAACAATAATGAAATAGCTCTCTACATCTATCAGAATGGCTGAAATCCCAAACCCAAAACAGAACACCAATTGCTGGCCAGGACAGGAGCCGCCGGAACCCACATTCATTGATGAGGGAAATGAAAAATGGTGCAGCTACTTTGGAATACAGTTTGGCAGCTTCTTATAAAGCTAAATATAATCTTACCATATGATCTAGTAATCATTCTGACACTAAGAATTTACCTAATTGTCTGAAAACTTATGTCTACACAGACCTGCACGTAAATGTTTATAGCAGTTTTAATCACAATTGTCAAAAACTAGAAGGAACCAAGATGGCCTTCCATAGGTAAATGGATAAACAAGCTGGTCCATTCCACAGCAGATGGTTCCTCAGGGATAAAAAGAAATGAATTGCCTTCATTACACGGGTCTAGTCTGAGTAAGTATGATGGTTAGGGTTGACCGGGAACCTGGCAGAATCTAGAGTCACCTGGTTCTGGGCATGCCTGTGGGGCATTAGCTTGGTTATGTTCCTTAAAGGGCGAAGACCTTGTGGGTAGCACCATACCCTGGCTGGGATCCTGAACTGTGTAACAGAAGAGAGACTGGGTGGCCTCAGTAGTGACCTGTATCCATTGCTCTCTGCTTCCTGATTGTGGATACAATGTTATCAGCTGCTTCAAGTTCACCTGATCCCACCCACTTGGTGGATGTGAGATGATCTGGAGTGTGTGCCTGCTCCAGGGTCTAAATCTGGAGGGAAGGGGAGGGGTCTGAGAATCTGCCACTCCACTTGGCTCTCAGGCAGGGTTCTGTAGCTCTGGGGACCACACTGAGAACAGCTGGCTATGGCACTGTCAATCTGGATTGTCCTCTTGACTTTAACCATCCTATCACCTTTCTCTGGGATTCCTATCAGGTATGTGATGGCTATTCTTGGTTGTCAATCTGACATCTGAAATTAACTAAAACCCAAGCAGCAGGGGAGAGCTGTGAGGGATTTTTTTTTTTTTAAATTAAAATCACTTAAAGTGAGAAGACATACTATTTTTGTTGTCATTTTTTCTTGTTTTTTTTTTTTTTTTCAAGACAAGATTTCTCTGTGTATTCCTGGCTGTCCAGGAACTCATTCTGTAGGCCAGGTTGGGCTTGAACTCAGAGATCCGCCTGCCTCTGCTTTCAGAGTGCTAGAATTAAAGGTGTGTGCCACCACAACTGGCTGAGGGAAGACCCACTTTTTTTTTCTGTTTTCTTTTCTTTTCTTTTTTTTTGGTTTTTCGAGACAGGGTTTCTCTGTGTAGCTCTGGAGCCTGTCCCAGAACTTGCTCTGTAGACCAGGCTGGCCTCGAACTCACAAAGATCTGCCTGCCTCTGCCTCCGAAGTGCTGGAATTAAAGGCATACGCCATCACCGCCTGGCGGAAAGATTCACTTTTATTCTGGATCTTTTGAGGTAGGAAGATCTGCTTATGATCCAGGTCTTTGAGGTAGGAGGATCCATCTTTAATCTGGGCCACACCTTCTGCTGGCAGCCTACATGAGGACTTGGAAGAGGGAAGCTTGCTCTCTTTGCCTGCTTGTTCTCGCTCTCGCTGGCAAGTCCATTCCTTTACTGGCATTACAGCCCGTTTCTTTGGTACTCCAGAATATACTGAAGACCAGCTGAGACATCCAGCCCTGTGGACCAACCAACTACTAGATTCTTGGACTTTCCATTGGTAGACAGCCATTCTGGACTACCTGGACCACAACCTGTAAGCCACTCTAATAAACTCTCCATAAATATATTCATTCTATCAGTTACATTCCTCTAGAGAACCCTGACTAATACAAGGTAGCAGCAGATTCCTCAAAGGCAGCCTTTGGTTGACATTGTTGCTGCAGGTGAGTCACTCACTGTCTGAGAGCCATGGGGGAGGGGTCATCTAGACACATGCACCCACATTCTATCTATGTGCTTGACTCTATACCCAGGCCCAGAGCCCAGGCTAAATACTGTGTCCCTTGGGACAACAGAAAGACGTGGTCATCACTCCCAGCCCTCCCTCAAGGACTGAGGGAGGGAGCAGTTACCAGAGTCTGGGAAGAAAGCCTAGGCCCTGAGGACTCAGCGACACCAGCTAGAGGGACAGTGCCACGCTCACTTAGGAACCCTCACAGAATCAGACAAAGGCATAAATAATCTGATCTTTTACTTTCATTCCCTACCTCTCTGTCCTAGAGGGGAGGTGGAGGCAGAGGGAGCCTGTGTGTGGTGACTCCAGCAGAGGCCGGCTGGGAAGGGCCCATAAAGGACCTGGAGGAACAGAGCCAGCTGCCATCACACTAAGAATGCTGCATGATGCCACCGCCGCCGCTGGCTGCCCACCGACCGGTCTGCTCCAGTGACAGTTGACTTCTGAGAGGTTACACCTGCCACCAAGCCCAAATATAGGGGGAACCTGATACAGACGGCCTCCATATCCACGGGTTCAATGCCCATGAGCTCTTCCAGCTGAAGACAGGTAATGGCTTTTAAAAGTCATGTTTTCTTTTTCTTGCTATTATTCCTTGAATAACACAACTCGTATAGCATTGACATTATATTAGGTAATGCAAGTGATACAAGTGATTTCAGTTATGCAGAGAGACGGGCGTGGCTTACATGCAAAACATTTTGCCATCCTCTGCGAGGGGACCTGAACAATCTCAGATTTGGGTATTTGCGGGGCCCGGAACCAGTCCCCAGGGATATGGAGGGATGCCTATATTTGTCAGTCAGCTCACATTATATTTCAATAGCATAAGATGGAGAGATGGCTCAGCACTTAGGAGGACACACTGCTCTCCCAGAGGACCTGAGTTCAGTTACCAGCATCCATGTGAGGTGGCTCACCACAACTGCCTGCTAACTGCAACTTCGGGGTATCTAACACTCTCTTTTGGGCTTTTTGGGCACCTGCACCCATGTGCACAAACTACACATAGACACACACACACACAATTAAAATTCAAATAGATCATTTTTAAAAAGATATGGTAGAGAGCAATCAAGGCGAGCACCCCAGGCTAGACACATACCCCCAAACATGTGCACACACATACAACACACACACCTCAGAGAAGAAACAACATAACTTCTCGACCCCAGGTTCCTGGGAGAAGCAAACTCTTGGTTTCCAGAGGATGTTAAATTAGAGGACATCCTTCTGCCCCATAAAGTGTCGATCAAACGTTTTAAAATCACATCTTAATTATCCCTAGAGGTAACGCAGGGCGGCACTGAAAGAATTCAGATAAGGAGCACCACAGCACTGAGATATGGGTGCCATCAAGGAGGAGGTGGCAGCAGCCCCAGGTCCCTGGGGGATTGAGGGATGTGGGAACACAGGACTGGTCTCCCCAGCAACTTGCATCAGTCATGGATAAGCCAACATCCTGTCTAAGCCTCAACTTCCTTAAAAACGAGGCTGGCGGTGCCCACCTGGCAGGCCGCTGGCAGGGGAGGGTTAGGAACAGGAAATGACAGTCCCTAGCACAGGGCACAGCACCCAGAAGATGAGGTAGCTGCCATCCTGGCTTCGTTTCTATTGCTGTGATAAAACACCGCAAGAAAAAGCAACTGGTGGGGAAAGGCGTTACTATAGCTCACAGTTACAGGCTATCTTGCACTGACGCAGGGACATCAAGGCAGGAGCTTGAAGCAGCTAGTCACACCACAGCCACAGCCACAGCAAGGAGACACACACACGCTAGTGCTCCTTCTCCACTCTCCTACAGTCCAGGACCCAACATCACAGCTCTGTAAAACTCAGGCTCAGCCCTCAGCGCTTCACATACCCATTAGCTTCAACCCCAAACTGACGTAGTGGAGGGGCCACGCACCCCTCATGACACGTCTCCCTATTTCCTGACTGCCTCTTATTTCTCAGTGTGACGTTCCAGCTTTCAAACTCGTGAAAGCAATGGGCAGTGAGGCATCAGACAACCAGGAAAAAGTCATTTCTCTCGGGTTTTGTGAAGATCAGATGTCATTCGTCATCAAGTAAAATAAAAACCCTGGGCAAACCGTGTCTATTATTTCCCCTACTCTTCAAAAATAAGGAAATCTTAGAAACCCAAAGCTTCAGTTAAGGTCTTTGGGACACAGTCGTCATCAGATCTATTTGCGGACAGCTGAGTAGGCCACAGACTATCTAAAATAGCCGGGTTTCTGGTCTGAAATACCTCAACTGCTTTGTGACTTAGGAGCAAGGATCACTGGAAAGGATTATTCAAAATATAGAGCCGAGGGTAGAATGTGCCTCTGATGTGGATCTGGCCCTTCGGCAGCATGAAAAGATGAAGAATGGGCTTTTCCGTGGAGTGGGAATGTAGTTGAGGACTGGAGAAGAAGACACGGCTTGAGAAAAACCAAGACAATTTAGTGTTAGACAGTTCTCTCCCAGCTCCAGTGGTAATCCAAGCCTCGAGCCAACAAGGAGAGAGAGAGGGGGTGGAAGGGAGGAAAGGGAGGAGGGAAGGAGGGAGGGAGGAAGGGAGGGAGGGAGGGAG